AAATTACAATGATTCAGATGAATTAGGAATTGTTTTTAGAGTTTTAAATTCTTGTAATGAAAACTTACGTTTGTGAGCTTCTAATGGAGTCCATGTTCAGTGGCGTATATTCCTTTCTGCTGATGTGTAGGCTAGTGTGAAGTCACAGATTTAATATCACGTGCAGAGTGTGGGTAGAGAAGGAACTTCCTCTCCATAGGTATTGGGGGGGGGGGTCAAGCTCAGACATCTACAATTCTAATTTGACAAATAAATATAATATTGTAGACGTATCTCAGTTATATCATGATGTGTAACTCGGCTTAGAGGTATGGAAACTTTCTTACTGAATAAAATTCCATCAAAATGTTGAATTTCCTACTTACCCAATATAACTCAAGTTATCAATTTCGTTTCCTGCAGATTTTATGGACTCCTGTTGCTTTCGATGAAATTTTCTGATACAGACTTGAAATTAATAACACTTGAACCAAGCCTGCTAATCGATCAGTTGCACAACCAGCAGTTGTGTATATCAATCAAAAGAGATCGATTTCCGGTTATGCATTTGATTCGAATAATTCCAGTACACAGGTAGTAAATTGATCCGATTCAGGCAATGATTGATATTTTTATTAAAATATAAGAATGTAATTCCATGAGCAATTTATTATGTTCCCCAAACGAAGTTGGGGAACATATTGTTTTTACTCTGTTTCTTATTATTATTATTATTATTCCTGGGAAAATTTTGTCCACGAGTGATCTTGTAAACTATACATCCGACTAAGGTAAAATGTTTTTAGGGTCAGTAGACATGTTATGTAGATTTGCCGAACGAAGGTCATTTTGCGCGCACGTGCTTGCAAGAGCGCGCACGTGCAACACGTGAAATGACCAATATAATGGATATTGCTGTAACTTTTCTTTTTTTTGATGATTTTTTTTAAACTCATAATGTAAGGATACATTAGTAGTATAGACAAGATGGCATGGTCAAAATGGCAAGATCTCACGCGCATGCACGTGCGCTTTGCTCTGATTGGCTGAAACTAAAGTCTTAGTATCTTTCTTGTCTTGTCATAATCTTTTGAAATTTTGAACATAGTCCTACATTATGAAGATCTACAGTATGATATATAAAAACTTTCGTGAAATCATGCGCATGCGCGCGTGCTGCAATCTGATTGGCTGAAACTTTAAATGGCTATATCTCCTTTGTTTTTTGACGAAATGCTTTGAAATTTAAAACATAGTCATACATTAGGATATCCTAAAATATGACATAGAAAAAAATTCATGAAATCACGCGCATGCACGTGTGCTGCAATCTGATTGGCTGAAATTTTATACGGCTATATCTCCTTTGTTTTTTTTGACGAAATGTTCTGAATCTTAAAATATAGTCATTCATTTAGATATCCTTCAATACGATAAAGATAAAAATTTATGAAATCACGTGCAGGCATGTGTGCTGCAATCTGATTGGCTGAAACTTCAAATGGCTATAACTCCCTTGTTTTTCAACCAAACAGGATGAGACTTAGAACATAGGTAAATAAAAGGGAATCCTACAACAAGGTGTAGTCATTATGCACGTGCCTGCACGTGCGTGCACGTGAAATGAGTAAAATTAAAAATATACTGGAATGAGTGTATTTTTAATACTTTTGGATTAAATGCTTTGATATTAAGTATATTTAAATTTTAGATAGTGCAGACAAGATAATATGGTCGTTACGCACATGAATAAGCGTGCAATGCCTATTTTTAAATATATTTTGTATTTTTCTGGGAAGACCTTGATTAAGTCTAAATTCCATAAAGTATTTCTTATTTAATAGAGATTACGGGGAATGTGGCACCAAAAGGGAGTTGGGAGCGTTTGGGGAACATCTGTAACGGTCCCCGTTACAATTAGCACTAGTTTTTCTTTAATTCTACACTCTCATAGCATGCAATGATTGTCGATTAGCGACCATATTTGTTTTGAAGCAAGGGCTAGCTGGTAGAGCTAAAACGCCGATGGAAAATAATATTTGCCGACTAGAATTCGTGTTATTAATCTCAACTAACCTTGAAAATTCAATGTCCACCATGAATATCATTGCTAATCGACAATCATTGCATGTTATGATTTTATGTTCCACTATGAATATGGCGGGGGCATATAGTGTTTGATTTGTCTGTCTTCTGTCCTTCCATCCTTCTGTTCTTCGGTCTGTTCTTCTGACAGTACACTTTGCATTTCGCTCAGTTCAAAGCTCAGTTTCAAAGAAACTAAGATATTTTCATCAATCTTCATTTGCTGTTAGATATTGATGAGAGTCACTCATTTGACCTATATTTCTATCCGTTTTTGTCCGTCGTTGTGCGTCATAACTTTTTGTACTGGCCCTGGGATCAGGTGTTAGGGCGGGGCTTTATTGATTATACATAGTGAAAATGCATTAATTCTTTGAAAATCTTCTTTTCTGCCTCTGGGTATTAAAGTACATAACTAAGTACATATATGCATTTATGATGAACAAGAGTACCTCTTCCAAAATTGTAAATTTTATGGCCTGAGGTTCAGGGGTTCTCGTGTTAGGGTGGGGCTCTGTTGATTATATAGTGAAAATGCACTAGTTCTTTGAAAATTTTCTTCTCTGCTCCTAGGTTTTAAACTAAAACTAAGTAACATAGTTATAATGAGCAAGAGTGCCTCTACCAAAATTGTGAATTTTATGGCTCCAGGATTAGGAGTTCTGATGTTAGGATTGGGTTCTATTGATTAATTATATACTAGTGAAAATACACTAAATCTTTGAAAATCTTCTTCTCTGCTCCTGGGTATTTAGCAGATGAACTCATGAATAAGGGTCCTTCTTCCAGAATTGTGAATTTCAAGGCCTCTGGGTCAGGGGTACCATAGAGGGTAGAGGAGTACCATAGAAGTGGGGGTGGGGGCTCCAGTGAAAATGAATTAGTTGTTTAAAATCTGCTCCTTGGTATTAATCAAACATTTTTGATAAGCAAGGGTGTCTTTTCAAAAATTGTGCAATGCTTGGACCTAGGGTCGGGGGTTCATGTGTGCTAGGGGCACTACTGATTATTGCTGAATATTACTTATAAGTTGAAATGCAGTTATTGTCCCCTCTACCCTGCCTATGGATATTAAGTAACCAAACTAAGCAATTTCTAAGTATATAGTTATGATCAGCATTTATGGTGCCTCTTTCAAAATTGTGAATGCCATAGCATCTAGCTTAAAACATTTACCAAATTCAATCACATGATGCTCAGGTGACTTATAAGGCCCATGGGCCTCTTGTTTAGAAGATATAAGGTTAAATTTTTGTGACGGACCGACATTGCTTTATTTTAAACAAACATCATCGAAGATTATTGTCCCCCGCTTTCGTGAAAACGAGGAGACATTAAATCTCATTCCTCTGCCAGTCTGGCCGTCTGTCACACAAATTTAATCTTGGTCATATCTCTTTAATGAATAGAGGTAGGACTTTCATATTACAATTGTGTATTACTGAGACAATGTCTTTAAAATATACGTTGATTTTTGACCCCGTGACCTTGACGTTTGACCTATTTTTGCAATATATTTAATTTTACTTGAAGGAAATGCGCAACGACCTTACCTGTTGATAATTTTTAAATACATACTCAGTATTTCTATATATTAATATTATTGTGTCATCAGATGTTCATAGACAACACCATAAATAGACTTTAAAATATAGCACAAAGGTCCTTCAAGGTCAACATGCCCAAAAATTTATTAATACAATAGCTCCAAAACTATGTAGTTTATAAAGTTAAATATTTTACAGTTTATAAATATATCATCGATTAAAAGATAGAAAGTATCACTTGATAACAGATACTTAAAAAAGAATATTTATGGAGAGCACTTCTTTTTAAAAAATATATATATATACTTTTACAAAATACACTTAAGTACATCTGCTTTAAGTGAAATTCACCATTGCAGAAACAAATAAAATGAAATGTTTTTCAATGAAGGCAAGAAGGACTTCGATAGCCTCTGGAAAGTTTTTTTCCCGTTTATTTTGTCCAAATGTTAGAATTTGAGATCGAAAGTATTTTATATGGGTCTTGTCCTTTTACATATGCTTTCAATAACAGCCTTTCAGAGACCATTCAGGGCAAACTTGCCCTTCATTGATAAGCACATATTATTTCTTCAATGATGGTTTTCAGTAAAAGGGCAGCATTAAACAAGTGCTTTTTTAAAATATGCAAATTATTTGATATAATTTGTCTCAAAAAAAAAATCTTTTTTAAATAATTGTTTTCAAACAAACCTTCTATCTGTTACTTAATGATTTATTTATACACTGTAAAAGTTTAAACTTTATACCTCGCATAAGTTTTGAGCAATTGTAAAAATAAATTTTTGGATATGCTGACCTTTGGTGAAACCTTAAATTGCCCTTAACTTTTGAATTAGATGAGATAAAAATGTGTATTTATTGTGACAAGACTTTCCTTAAAAGTAAATATATTATGATTGTTGACCATGTGACCTTGACCTTAAAGTTTCGCTTACTTTTCAAAACCTTTTACCTTGGTAATATCTTTTAAATGAGAAGAGATTGGGATTTCACTTGTGTATTACCTGTGGCAAGACCTATTACCTGTGGCAAGACCTATCAAAATATACTGAGATTTCTGACCCTGTGTCCTTGAGCCTTAACATTAACGTTTGACCTACATTTCAAAGAAGCTTCATATTTGACGTGTGCATTTTCTTTGACAAGATATATCCAACCTTGCTCTGATCTCTGACAACTTTCCTTCTTGTTTGACCTTTTCGCAAAAATCTACTTTGGTGATAACTTTTGACATGTGATAGGGCGTTCATATTTGACACAATAAGCAAAAAATAATGACATCTTACCAACAAAGACACAGCGGGGCACCAATTAATTTATATTATTCTGCTTGTCATCTTTAATTGTTAAGGAAGAACAATACAACATGGTATATTTTCTTTCTTTTTTATTTACAATATTGCATAATCAGCAACATGGGTCTTAGAGTCTTTAAGCTCTCTTTATATAGATGTTTAAAACTTCAGCTCGTCCATACTCTGTACAAAAGTAATTTTTTTCAGAGTTAAAATTCAAACACTGTGGCTTAAAAATAACTTTTATTTATATAATTAATCCTTATACTATTGGAATTTCTGAATGTCCATACTTACTCATATTTTGCCATTTTATAACTTTTCCATCTTTACTGTATAGAAATTGAGGGTAGGAATTCTGTTTTTCCCAGCGGCAGGGTTTGGATCCCGAGGCATCCATAACAACAAACCATCCCGAATCTCCAGGACACCCATGATATAACTTGCTAATGAAGAAATGTCTTCCATGGCGAGCTTCCCTGTAAACAAGTTTTATTTACATTTTAATTTTGGGTGCAGATAAATATACAAACCTTTATCGTTCCCCGCTTTCAATGAAAGTGGAGACATTAATTTTTGGTATGTCTTACATTGTATGTCCGTCCGTCTGTCTGCATTTTTTCTGTGTAACACTCATTATTGAGCGATATTTTGAAAAACCTTTAGGTTTTTGCAATAAAATTGTAAACCATTTATCCAAAAGTCGTACATAAGACCCGTAATGACTTTGGCTTCAAAGATCTACGTCAATATTTTATACATTTTGTGTTGAACACTTCGGTTTCAAGACTCCTGGGGGTCATGATTTGAACAATCTTGAATCTACACTATCTGAAGATGTTTCCATTATGACATATTTCATTTTTCCTGGCCCAGTGGTTCTTGAGAAGAATTTTTCTAAAAGATGCCACTATTTTTTTTACTTATTTGTATTTATCTCTCCTTCGAAGAAGCCATGGCCTTTCAATTGAACAATCAAAGATGTTTTGTGTCCAGTTCGAAATTGGAAAATGTGACAAATTTACGGAGGGACGGACTACAGACAAAATGTGATTGGAAATGCTCACTGGGGCTTTCTTTCAGATAAGGTGAGGTAAAACCCTTTGTTGATTTTTAGGTCAATAATACAAAGGTTCAAGTTATAATTTAAATTCTTTGTGATTGCAACACTTTCGTTTCCGGATGAAATGTTGAAAAACCGAGTTTTTGTGATTTCTTATGCAGAGCTTACTATGGTCCAGAACAGACTCATTTTGATTCCGAGGTCAAATTGTCGAAGGTTAAGATTCATTTATGTGTATCACCTCCTAAAAATGCCTTTCAGCTTTTCCAATGAAAATTCATAGCACATTTACTGATGACCTACAAAAACATTACATCAAGTATTTTAAATTATAAGTTTGAATTTTTTTCCAACGAGCTTTCTCCTATACATGTATATTCAATAGCAAACTCTCTTTAAGGTATCCGAAATACATTAGACCGCCTGACAAATCCTTTTATGTCGGCACATTCCGGGTCATGTTGATCTTCTTCGTAACTTCAGCAGAATAAACTTAAAACACAAATCAGCATAGTATTAAAAAGCCGACTTGTTGAGGGAGGGGAATTTGAATTTTCTGTTATTTGAGAATGTCCCTATATAAATAAAGCATGTATAAGTTGGCTATACTTGAAAAGATTTATAAAGTTTTTCCAACAGATTACTCAATCTCCCATTGTGACCAAATGCTAACCAATCTCTACCCAGAGTTATCGTTCGCTTCGCTACAACAACTCTGTCATCGTTTAAATGCCAAGATTCTTGGCAAAACTTACTTTTGCCTATTGCATCATAAATTATTAAAATAAAACTTTTATATTCTTGCTGTATGAAATGAAAGTTTTTTTTTAAGAGAATAAGAATCAAGATATCGCTTTTTCACCACATCTTATAAGGGATTATTTCTCGGCAGGATATTACGAACGTGGAAAATTAAAAACGTATTGCCGATAATGATCAACATAATTTAGTTCTTATAGACAAACAACTTGCACTGCTTGAAAAAACACCTTTACAAAACTTTACTTGCGAAGTAAATTTCATTAAAGGTGCTCCAAAAAGCAAGGTCATCTTTGTGTTAACTTTACAAAAAGTAAAGGTGAAAAGGTAACCTTTACTTACTCGAAAAGATAATTAAATATAACCTTTCACCTTTAATGCCATATCAAAGTTCATTAAATATACATATTTTATAAAAGTCTTATTTAAATGCTGACTATTGTTTAATACACTTATACTTTGGATTTTCACAGTTAGTTTAAAGAATCTAATCTAGTCAGTACCCAGAATTTTAAGACAAATGTCAAAGATATTTTTTTTATTATCTTGTATCCATTTCCAGTTGAAATTAGTATTAGAAATGGTCATCTACAGAATCAAACACTCGACTCATCATTATTTGACAGACTACACCTCAAATAATACAACAACTATGCTGTAAGCCAGGTTAGCTTAGTTGGAGCAGCTGGCGTTTATTTTGATACATATCTAACATACATTACATTGAATGTGAAACAATAAAGCACTGGAATGCATTTGTGAAATATTTTACTTGTAATAAATTATACCCCTATCACAGACATTAAAAACCGCCCAGGCAAAAACCATAGATGGTTAACTATGGAAAACCTGTGTCCGTCGCTATGTAAATAATGTCTCAAGGGAGAATGCCGGACGTGCATTCAGTGCAATAGTTAAAAATGCACGAACACCCTATAATATTTGCATGTATGAAAAAATCCAAATTAAAATACATTTCAACAGTTTTGTTATTTCCATTACCAGTATATTTATACAAATATGATATATATATTATATATAAAGCAAAAAAAAATGTGTGTGTATTGAAGAGCACTGGCTTAGAATGATTTGAACACCTTACTGAATACTCATTTCTCACTGGCCTTCCTTTGGCCATGCCCACATATACAACCAAAACCATTAATATACGTTCCTCTCATACAATGTGTTCCCGCTCTACTACAAAACACGGGAAAAAAATATTATCTGCACCAGGATTGCCTACAACTCTCTGGATTGGATGGCATAGATTTTTTATATGTACATTGATATTAATGATATATTAAGTAATAATATAACAATGGGAAAAATTGGCATATTGATAATTTTCATTTTCCAAACAAAAATGATCTTAAATATTCTGTATTTTGGCTTCTCATCATAAGATGAGTCAGATATACAGCACAAACAATATATTCAGTTATAACCTTGAATATAAACATTATATTGAGTTATCTTTGACTTTTGTTTTCCTTTAAACATTCAGATACATGTGAGACAAAATAAAAAAAAAATACAGATGATAAGTATAAATTTCACATTTCTGCTTATGAAATGGAGGTCCCATTTCACTTTAAAATACAATACCGGTACAATATTATTTATTCTTTATGGTGCATGTACATATATAAAATAAACTTTGCAGTTTAAATTGAATTAAAAATGTGAAAAAATTACATAAAAGGCTATTTGATTTGCGCTTATATACAGGCTAATAACATCTTCAACTTGTAATGCAAAATGATGCATTTTACAAATTCACAAACACAAAAAATGATGAAAAATCTATTAGAATATATGTGAGGATGCAGATTGCAAAATGCATGAGATCATGTATGAATCCAGCTTCACCCAGTGAGCCTGTCTGTGCTTGACTTAGTTTAGATTATGTTTTTATGTCTGTGGTATATGTTAGTGTGTTTGCATATGTGTCCAGCTTCACACATTTTCATGTATGTGCTCGACTTCACATGCCTTGGAAAATATGTAATAGGTTGTGGCAGATGCATGTGTATTTGTGTATGTGTCCAGCTTCACACATTTTCATGTATGTGCTCGACTTCACACACCTTGGAAAATATGTAATAGGTTGTGGCAAATGCATGTGTATTTGTGTATGTGTCCAGCTTCACACATTTTCATGTATGTGCTCGACTTCACACACCTTGGAAAATATGTAATAGGTTATGGTAGATGCATGTTTGCATGTATCCAGATATACGCATTTTCATGTGTGTGCTCGATTTACATGTCATCAATGTAAAATATGTAAACATGGTGGTGTAAAACGTTTATAAGTGTATGATGCACACAGAGAAAAAAAAGTTCTGTGTGTTTTGTTCTGCAAGAGTGATCGTATAAATAAACTACAATTATGTCCTGTTGAGAAATTGACAATCATAATAAGTAACATATTCATTTTACATAACTGTACTGAAAATTACACACCCAGTTTAAATTACTGTACTGAAAATTAAATTTGTGCAAAAACTCTCTGGCTGAATAACATTCAAAATCATGAATGCTTGCATGTTCATCTATAAATCTCCAAGATATTTCCTAGTTAGTTTGTAGCGCCGCACCGAGCGGTCTTACAACACATTTCATAATGTCAGTTTGCATGAATAAATTAATTTATCCTAGTTCCTCATATCTTGAAAATAGATGCCGAAATTCTAGTCTACAGTTTACTTACACAGCACATCATAAATAGAAACATTCAGGAAAAATAATTCACAAAAAATAAAATCCAAGTAAAACAATCACATGTACATATAAATCCAAGAAATGTTAGGTAATAGTCCAAGTGAGTACTTTATCTATCTCTAACAGTTCTATCTACTAACTAGTCTTCTATATTTCCATCCTCCTATCTTATTCTAAAATTCTGTCGCACTATATATATATACTCAAGATCCGTTCCTGACGATTAGGAGCACATTACAAGATCCTTAAGATCAGGAGTCAATACACAGGTCATTACGATCAGCAGGGGGGTTAGATAAGAGGGGGTGATTAATAAACAGATAAGATTTATAGCATAAGTGTAGAGGATAATGTGTGAACAATTAAGTAATGAAGAGTGATTTACAAATAAGATATTTTAAATCGTTAAAAGTTTACATATTCTTGATCATATCATTGATAAGAGTATATATTCTTGATCATGACATCTGTATTGGATTCCCCTCTCTGACATCTTTTCTTGTTCACCAATTAGTTCAACAGTCATCTAGGTACTCAGGTGTTGTACAAGTCCTAATAAAAATCATTTTCAAAATTATAAAGAAAAACAATACAATTTTTAAAGAGGTTTTCATTACTTCTATTGAAATTAAAGCACAAGCTTTTGAAGACATACATAAGTAACTTAAAACATGTATATCTAAACATAATGGAAATTTAGACAATGCGACTCTATGTCAAACATATGATAGTGATACATCTGTGATATCCATGAAACTTACTGAGATACTTAAAATGTTTGTGGCGTGCTTTCACTAAGCTAAGCAATATATAAACATTTCTTTATTACATGTTGAAGTCCAAGGCTTAAAAAAAAAAGTTTGTTTCCTGTAACATTCCTAAAAAATCAAGGGTCGGTAGGTCAGAATTTTTTTTTTTTTTTTTTTTGCTTATGACTGGTGAAACATCCCTAGACTGAAAATACCAGATGTTATATTTACAGTGGACACCCAACATGGCATCCAAAATGGCTGCCTAGCGGCAGAAAACAAACTTCAGAAAGTTGTAGGGGGAAACTTTTGTTACAATAATGATTACTCTTTATATTTAAGGTAAATGTAAACTACGTTGACATATTTTACGTCTCAAATTAAGCTGCAAGCTATTGTTTTAATTTAATAAATGGAATCAGCTGATTGATCAAACAAAGTTTTGCCATTTGTCAGGGAAAAAAAATCCACCCAGGGATAATTTGAATGGGTCGGTCGGGTTACAGGAAACAAACATAAATGAATTATCTCTTCACCATACTCGGCCTCTTTAAAAAATGTGAGAAAATAATTTAAATACTTTTCTTTAGATAAAATCATGTAGTGAGTATCCAGCAATGGTGAAAAAAAGTTATCTCTAGAATTTTACATTTATATTGAATGAAAAATGCAGTGTTCCCTCTACTTAAAAAAAACTCAAAAGACATTACCTAAAATGGAAATAAGGTACACCTGTGACTGGTGACTCAGGCACAACCAATAAACACAAGACCTTTCCATCCTTAGCAACATGCATTAGCTTCACATTCCTTGTTTCTACAAAAAATATACAATGAAAATTAAAAAAAATGAGAGCGAAGAGTGTTACATGTACTTGGGGGAACAGAGGAAGGAATTTTGAAGTCAGATTAACTATATTTCTGCCAGTGTTGGGACAGATAAATTTCCATAATAAAATGAAACGAATTATTCGTAACAAATAAGACACATGTATTACTTGCAGTCACCATTGCACATTATGTATAAACATTTCTGGATTACACGTTGAAGTCCAATCCTCACCTGACTTGCACATTCATATGGATTGGTTCTATGCGGATAATCCCTTTCAACAATCTTCATCACAACATCTGAAAGTCACCCATCTTCAAAATTAAATCTGCCGCTCACCTCAAATGTATATAGACTCCCTGTACAAATGCATGGAAAATAAAATTTTGAATAAAAAATGAATTATCTCTTCACCATACTCGGCCTCTTTAAAAAATGTGAGAAAATAATTTAAATACTTTTCTTTAGATAAAATCATGTAGTGAGTATCCAGCAATGTTGAAAAAAAAATTGTCTCTAGAATTTTACATTTATATTGAATGAAAAATGCATTGTTCCCTCTACTTAAAAAAACTCAAAAGACATTACCTAAAATGGAAATAAGGTACACCTGTGGCTGGTGACTCAGGCACAACCAATAAACACAAGACCTTTCCATCCTTAGCAGCACGCATTAGCTCCACATTCCTTGTTTCTACAAAAAATATACAATGAAATTTAAAAAAAAATGAGAGCTAAGAGTGTTACATGTACTTGGGGGAACAGAGGAAGGAATTTGAAGTCAGATTAATTATATTTCTGCCAGTGTTGGGACGGATAAATTTCCATAATAAAATGAAACGAATTATTCGCAACAAATAAGACACATGTATTACCTTGCAGTCACCGTCGCACATAATGTATACATACAACTGACAACATCCCAAATCCCTTTCCCCCTTTGTTGTTTACTTGGCGGAATTTTCTTTGCCTTTTAGACTGGTTCCCATACATTGCCTTGAATAAGTCCTACGTTTATTGGTTTTGTTTACAAGCTTCAATATCAATAAAATCTCCCGCACATTTACAGTCTGTATTGTAAACTACTAAAACATACTTTACACACAATTTTCAGCTCAGTATTATGTTATCCTCTTCATTCAAGTAATATGTAAACTCTTCTCGAATGTAAAACGAACGATCTACTCTGATAAGTAACCCAAATATGGCACTGTGTATTCGGTTGAATAGCCAATCATTTCAAATCAAGTGGAGCGGGTCTGCATCGCTATTTTGACGAAGTTTGCAACCAGAGGTAATTTTTTGAAACCTCATCTAGATTTAAGGAGATTCTTGTCTTGACAACTGCTCGAACTCCCGGATTGGCATGCACTGCAGGTTTGTTTACGATTTCCAGCCGTTTTCACTTTCAACATAGATCAGTACATTGTGCATACATGTAGTGAAACAATGAAAGTCAGGCAAAACTTCGCTGTCAGGGCTCTCACACCACTTTTTGGGACTGGGGCCGGGGCCGTTCAAATTGGGAAAATTATCGTCATTTTGGGAAAAGTTGGATAACACAAATTCATTAAAAAAAATCCTCACTTTTCTAGCATTTTATCATCAATGCTAACTCTGGTTTGAATAAACAGTTAAACAGAACAAACATGGGTACGTAGGCTATTTATGAAAGTACATTAGCTTTGTCATTACTATCTTTGAGTGTTGATATTGCGATTATATGTCTTACTGCGTGACAGTCGCTAGTCACATAGTCCCGAATTTCCTCGATCACATGGGCAACTTTGCTTACCAATACAGTGCGAGACTGAACATGCCGAAGCGCGGTATGTTTCTAGGTGCAGCTTACTAATGTTTAAATGAAATGTCTATTTTAGAAACCAAAATGCTGGTTTTTGTCGAAACTACATAACAAGATACTCTGCACTCATAGTTGTATACATTTTTGTAAAAACAATAACCTGGTTCCCCGAACCAGTTTACGAATGCATTTGGCGCGAACTAATAAAATAGTAGTACAGTTTCACTTTCATTTGCAAATGTGTTTTGTTTGGGTTTTTTTTTTTGCGGTTTGATGGACTTTTATTTTTTAATTAATATTTTACTCTGGATGGAAATTGGGAAATTTACACTTTCTTTTGGGAAAAAAGGTACCTTTTTTGCATTGGGAACGGGGCCGTTGAACGGCCCCAATTTTAGAGAATCGAGAGCCCTGGCTGTATATGTTATTTACTGCCAGAATGTTAGATTAGTATTTTGATAATTTGGGGATTAAATGTTTATGGGTTTCAGTTTATTCTGTAAAGGTGTATGTCTCTGGAATATTAAACAAGACAAAGAAAAACAATTCTGGAGTGGGACTAAAATGAGTAGTTAAAACCGAGCCGGGCCGGGAATTTGAAACTGAAACCGGGTTTTTGCTAATTACTGAGAATATACACAATCAGTTGTCATAAAACTTAGTTACAGATGTATGTATGCCTTGGTTGAGAGTTTCAACTCCAAAATTGGCAAATAAGTTTATTTTATTTATAACATTATGTATTTTAATTGTGTCCATTTTGTTAAAATACAGGTTGAGTGAAATCAGTATGCAGATTGTTGAAAGGAAAACATCAAGACGGGGCGAGGAAGACGACAAAACATGACTGAGGATCCCAAAGTTCTTTGGTACAAGCACATTTTTAAAAAATCAAATAATAAGTATCGTGAAATGTTACTTGAACAAACATTTACATTATTTAGTGCTTGACTTGCTCGGGAGTCATTATTGTCAAATGTATTCGTATAAAATGTTCAATTTCTTTTGTATAGGCTCAAGCTACTCGGCCTACCATGAGAAAATTAAAAGATCTGCCATGAAGAAGAGGCAGGTTCTCAAGTTTCATATTATAGATGGCAAGTATTGTTTAGATTTAATTTTAAAGTATTTTTGATAAAGAAAGGGTGTTTGGCAGTTCATAGCTATTAACTGTGATTGCATTGTGTATGAATTTTCAAAATCAATTCATTCTTTGGTGACCGTGTGCTTCAAACTCATAATTTTTAATAAGAATATTGACTATACATTTGTCCAGGTGTATAAAATGTTAATCACTGTATGAATTCTATTTCAGCATGATTGTCATCTTCAATTCAGGGACTCTCACCTAAAGTCCTTTTACTGTTCCATATCAGGAAAAAGTTCATGAGCAGAAACATGTTATTTGGGAAAAAGGTACATATATCCTAAACCATAACTTGAGTATGATTCTGTACACATGTACAGCTAAGCTAAATATGTAGCACTATTTTGTTCTTTTTGTTAACTGACTACTGAGTAGTCAGGAAAACCTATCATTTCGTTATGTTTCAGGGATTTATTCTTTGATTGTGATAAGTACCCATAAAAAGTACATAATTCTCAAATTGTAATTTTAGGGATTAGGCTTTTTAGCTCACCTGAGCCAAAGGCTCAAGTGAGCTTTTCTGATCAAAATTTGTCCGTTGTCTGTCGTCGTTGTCGTCGTAAACTTTTCACATTTTCATCTTCTTCTCAAGAACCACTGGGCCAATTTCAACCAAACTTGGCACAAAGTATCCTTGGGTGAAGGGGATTCAAGTTTGTTCAAATGAAGGGCCACACCCTTTTCCAAGGGGAGATAATTATGAATTAGAGAAAAATTATTGGCATTTTTAAAAAATCTTCTTAAGAACCACTGGGCCAGGAAAGATGAAACTCATATGGAATCATCCTCAGGTAGGGTAGATTCAAGTTTGTTCAAGTCATGACCCCCGGGGGTAGGGTGGGGCCAAAATGGCCGATCAAAATTTTACATAGGAATATATAGGAAAAATCTTTAAAAATCTTCTTCTCAAGAACCACTGGAACAGGAAAGATGAAACTCATGTGGAATCATCCTCAGGTAGTGTAGATTCAAGTTTGTTCAAGTAATGACCCCCGGGGGTAGGGCGTGGCCAAAATGGCCGACCAAAATTTTACATAGAAATATATAGGGAAACCTTTTTAAATCTTCTTTTCAAGCACTTCAAAGCCAGGATTAGTGATATTTGTATGGAATCATCCTCAGGTAATGTAGATTCTAGTTCGTTCAAATTATGATCCCCTTGGGGGTTAAAATTCAAGCCCCCCCCCCCCCAACTTAAGTTAACTTTCAGTTCTGATCTGATATGTGTTTTTTCCTAGCTGATGTGCTCAGGTGAGCTCTGTGGCCCCTGGGCCTCTTGTTGTGATAAGGGATACATGACCTAACCCATTGATTCTTCATATAATATGTCAATAATAAGAGGTCCACTCGTCTTATTAAATTAATACAATTTTTATTTTTAAGGTTAAAGGTCATGTATGAACTTTTTATTCATTAATTAGGTTGTGCATTGTTTTTAGTTTGATTAAATCATGGTATTGTGAATTCTGATAACAGATGCCTTTGAAAATATTCATACTTATGCATAGCACTGAAAATATACTTATAGATTTTTTTTTCTTTTAGGAAAAGCATTAGAAGAATGCCTGCATGGGAAGAAAAGTTTTGGACTCTGAAAAGGGAGATGTGACAAATACATTTTGACAGTTATTGATTTCCACTGAAACCAATATCCACAAGAAAGAGGAACATAGTAGTTTTATGTTGATTCACAACTTTAAATTCAAGAATGTACAGTTGGTTTTATTATAAAACATGTCACGTACGAAAAACATTTTCGTGAAATGTACTCTGTCTTCGATACTTATTTATGTGTATGTGATTTGCAGGATATGATGTGGGCAACATATACTGTCAAGAATCTTGATGTTTTTGATCTTATGTTTGTAAATAAAATTGTAATAAACAAAGTTAAAGTCAACTTTTTGTTACTTTTTATATATTAATTATGATGTCCAGACTTCCGCAGTATCGACTTGGAAGAAAAATCTTATTTATAAATTGCATAAGGCTTTATTCACTAGAATGTTAAACAGAAATTATTAACTTTTGTGGTAATTAAAGATGGTTTTTAATTAAATTTAAGATCTGTAATTATCAGATTTAATATATCCTAAATATGGTGTTTAATGGTTGTAAATGTTAACTTTACTTTTTTGTAAAGTCAAGACAATGTGGGACATTACATCATATTTAAGTGCATGTAAAGTTAATGTAAAGGTTACCTTTTCCAACTTTGACTTTTTTCAGAAAAGCCAATTAAAGGCATTGTAAATAATAAATTTACATTATCTTTACTTGTTTTGTAAAGCCGAATTTTCATGCAGTGTTGCAGCATTGACACATATATAGAAATGTAAAGATGTTAAGCTTCTTGTGGCCTTTTTAAACAACTTTTGAAAAATAAATAACGTCCTCCGCTTCCGTCCTACTTTTAAGACGTTGACAGAGGTATAAGTGGAACGATAACACTGGGTAGAGATTGAATGCTAACACACACACACCCATCCCCGCATATTATTTGAAAAAATTAAATCTTCACTACTTACAGATGCTTACCTGGTACAAGTAAATTTTACTAAACAAAGCTTTCTATTCTTGTAAAGATTTTTTCCTATGTACTCTTATGCAAAACTTTGAGTCCTCATTGTGGCCACACCCTACCCCTTTGGGTCATGATTTGAACAAAATTGAATCTACACTACCTGAGGATGCTTCCATATGAGTTTAATATTTCCTGGTGCAATGGTTCCAGAGAAGAAGATTTTTAATAGATTTTTCCTAACTATTCCTATATAAAACTTTGATCAGACATTGTGACCCCGCCCTACCCCCGGGTGGTCATGTTTTGAACAAAATTGAATCTACACTACCTGGGGGATGCTTCCACATTAGTTTCATCTTTCCCTGCCCAATGGTTCTGGAGAAGATTTTTCTATATTCCTATGTAAAACTTTGATCAGCTATTGTGGCCCCGCCTTACACCTGGGGGTCATTTATTTGAACAAAATTGAATCTACACTACCTGAGGATGCTTCAACATGAGTTTTATCTTTCCTGACCCAATGGTTCTAGAGAAGTAGATTTTTAAAGATTTTTCCTATATATTCCTATGTAAACAGATTTTTAAAAGTTATCATTCATTTTTTATTAATTCATAATTATCTCCCCTTGGAAGAGGGCTTGGCCCTTTATTTGAACAAACTTGAATTCCCTTTACCCAAGGATGCTTTGTGGCAATTTTGGTTAAAATTGGTCCAGTGATCCTTGAGAAGAAGTCGAAAATGTGAAAAGTTTACAGGCAGACAGACGGACTACAGACAAAGTGTGAACAGAAAAGCTCACTTGAGCTTTCAGCTTAGGTGAGCGAAAAAGGTTAAAGGTATTTTAGCGCAAGCAAGTTTTTCTGCAATCCTACAGTTTGTAAGATTGATCCCCAAGAAGTTATGGAACTTCCGAGGGATCAATCTCCTAAACAATGGGCATACAGAAAAACTTGTCAACCAAAAGTTATTCCTTTTTAAGATCTCCCATATATATCTCATACAAACCTGAAGGTAATGGAGAGGAGAGCAGGTCACATTTTTGAAAACTTTGCCGACAAAAGTATGATGATTTAACTTATTCAATTTTCACTGTAATAAACTTCCTTTTGAACAGCGATCCTTCAGTACTTAGACATGTTTGCCAGGATGTGGGCTTTGTCAAAGAAAGAAGAGAAGGCAGTGAGGAAAGAGATAGGTATTTATTATATGATGAATAGTTAGAATGGTTGATGCACTTGAAATATGACGATACAATGATATTAATGTTTTATTAGTTAAAAGTAATCAAGTTCTGTTGCTGCAACTACCGATTTTTACTGTCACTTCACCATGCTACATGAAGATATGCTACTAGTCTTTGAACAGAAAAACATTTATTTATGATGATTTCAATTATAATATTTTGGTAAAAAAAAATGTATTCAATGTGACTTGATTTTGATGACAAGAATAAGTAAAAATGAATTAAAAAGTTTTTTAAGCATTCAAGGATCATAGACTATCTCGAGGATACTTCACGGAGAAGTTTGCCAAAAGGAAAAAGATGGAAAGGCAGAGGAGACAAGAAAGGGCAGCATTACCACAGAAGAAACGTAGACTGCCTTTTTTTTTTTTTATTTCCTTTGGTATTATTTTTTTTAATGTGTTAATACACTCAAATGAAGTATTTAACAAATTTATGCCATAAAAAAATATCACTGATTTTTTTTCAATATGGGTCGGATACATTTACATAGAGAAGACCTCTATCAATTTTGGGTCAAAAGGTTGAACTTTTTAGAAAACTTGATGGACATGAGGAAGTAATTTAATAAGGGCCAGCAGAGGTGTTACATGACTTAAAAATATTTTTTTCAGAATTGTAAAGCTTCAACATTTGATTAAAAAGTTATGTAAGACTTTAAAAGTTATATAAATATTATAATTAAAAAAAAAAGACCTACCCGAGTTATAATGGTATAACCTGGGTTTGAGCAGTTTACGCTTTTTTAAAGGTGCATGGACGCGGATTTGAAATTAATATTTTCTGTATAATATTACGACTTATATATTTTAATAGCATTTCACAGATAAATAAATTAAATATCTTTATTTCATCTACAAGGCATTAAAATTTCAATTTTTTGGACACCTCCTTGCACTTTTACAAATTTTAATTTTATTCTTAATACTTAGGAAAAGTGGCAATCTTGTTGTGTATAAATGAAAAATATAAAACAAAATTCAGAGTAGAAATGTTCGAAAGCAAAACATACAGTATATTGTCAGTCCGTGCAGTTGTGGTATGCAGACTTTAACCATTGAACGCACCCAGTGAATCGTAAACATCAACAAAACGGAGCTCGTGCCCTCTTTACAAAAACTCTGTACGTTTCACGAGTGTGATCAATTTGCTAACTTAAAAATCTGTACAAAACACTTAGCTCTGAATGACGATACTTGTGAAGGAGTTTTGCTTTCTAACATTTCTACTCTGAATATAATTATTTTTCCGGATTAAGGTTTTAATATTTCTCATTACCGGGTAATACAAAACAAGATTCAAACCTCTCCTAAGTATAAAGAATAAAGGTAAAATTTATGAGAGTGCAAGGATGTGTCAATCAAACCCATCCAAAAATTTGGAGTTTCAATAACTTTAAGATGAAATAAAATTTTTAATATATTTTATGGGAAATGGTATTAAAATATAGAAGTCGTGATATTATACAGAAAATATTATTTAACTTCAAATCTGTGTCCATGCACCTTTAATGAGCCGCTTCGCGGTTATTTATACTTAACTGTTGTGTGGTTATACATTTTTGTAAAGCTTCTGAAGAATGACAATGAAAACGCTGAAGATTTTGTGTTTTCTTTTCATATATAAAAAAAAATATTTATTTATTTATACAAGTATATATATTTTTATATATATTCTTCTACTTTTAACTTTATGATCCACTTACTTGTTGAGAGAAAAAAAATTAAATCGTCCTCCTTTTCGCATATCAGGCCAGCTGCTTTTTTGTACTCTGCTTTTATGGAACCAGTTCATGTAAGTGGAGCCTTTTCCATCAAATTCGACAAATGCCACAGTCTTCTCTTTAGAAATTAGTTCAACCTTTACCTTTAAAGTAACAGGTGATTTCTCGTTAAAATTTAGTCGTGAACGTTAGGGATCCGAGTATATTATCACAAAATCCTACGAACAGTACATTCATCGTTACATAAGACAACAATATATTAATATTATTTTGCTTCAATCGTAACTTCAATCATGACACTGTATATCTAACAGTTCATTCACTTTTTTTTAAATATCTTACTGTCGTGGTAAAAAGAAACATGAAGTTTAAAATAAATTATCTTCACCTTTTGAATATTGAGACATTCCCAGAAGTCAACTTTGATACTTCTTAGGATTTTTGGACATTGATCTTTTGCTGTTTCCCATCTATAAGACAACGGTAGGCAACCATCTTTAACGGAACAAGGACAGCTGTTTAAGTTTAAGATATCACATTCTTTCTTAAACTTTGTTTGCCACGTCTTCATGACATTTTCCCCTTTCCCGCTCAGAGCATGGAAAACAAGTTCCCAGTCTCCTGAAAGTAACCAGTCTATTCTGTATTTAAGTATGTAAGACGCCAAACATTTTTATTATGAATTTTTTATGATTTACTAAAATGTGATCTATACTTAAGCTTGTACAGCAATTGATATATACAGTGTACTCAAAAGAATATCATATGTAGTAATAAGAATTTCGTATAAAAAATCTGAAGAGTTGAAATATTAATACTTGCAATTACCTTTTGCTGTCACTCCACATACAATATAGTTCAAAATAAGGAGTTCAATCACGATGATCATAATATGAATTCTCATATCTAGTCCTGTATGTAATCTACTAAACGGAAAAATTAATATTTTTACACAAAATATATTGAGAAGAGATGTTTCAAAATATTATTAAAGATTGTGAAAATGACTGTATAGAGAATATTACGAGTACATACTAAAATCCCAATGTTAAATACATGTATATATACATTGGTTTTGTTTAACGTCCTTCTCGAAAATTTTAACATATAATTAGACACCACCACTTCCTGGGAGAGGGCTCAGAATTTAGATCTATATACTCATTGAGGTAGCAGTGAGATATTTTTTTTTCGTGCTAACACCAGCTACAGTACGGAAACTCGGTTTAAACTGTCTCACCTCCACGAGATGCTTGTAGAGTAAAACTAATGCTAGGATAGATATTCACATAATTATCTATTACGTTAAACCTATTAGTTAGCATGCCTTATTTACTACTCAGAAATGCAGAGATAAACCCGGCCATACTATTCTTATGGGTATTGTTAGGTTAGAAAGCAAAAAATAAATGTCATACCATATAAACAGATCCGCCGGAAAATTAAGGGAACAACGGTTCCCATTTTGTCCCCTTCCCATTGACAAATTTGTCAAATTTAAAATATATTTATTTAAATATTGCAAGTGAAAGATATACATGCATATACATAATTTTCCAAGGGGCTTTTCTCTGACATATTTCCGGGTTGCAAACCACACGTTATCAAGTCGAATCTATATTTACAAGGGTCATTGACCAATTAAAATTTTATAAAACATGTATTTAGCACTCGGGCAACCTTCAATGCATAGGGTAATTTTAAAGTGTCACGTGTCTAGGTGCCGGTGTAAAACTTGGGTTTTATCACATGTTTTATAAATATTTCGAATTCCTTTTTTTTTTTAAAAATTCTTTTAGAAGAAGCGTAATATAGGGGTGGTTGGCTCATCTATAATAAAAAGAGCATTTTGTCATGGATGAAAGTTTAGTTTTCGTGTAAATCGAGAGTTAGAAGGATAGCAAGCATCCATTCTCTGGCAGAGAAAGGGGGAATGTAATAGAGGAAAGTCTGCTCAAAGATCGTGACTCTGCTTAGTGAACACATATGAACACCATTTTGATTATTTTTTGATATTTAACAAAGTACTATATATCACTTTGATAAACAAAATTAAGTTCTGTTGTTGAACTTTTTTGAATCCCAACTCATACTGGTTTCCCTGGAACACAAAAGCGATAGTGCCGCAAATAATGCACTTCATTATTAATTGTTTATTTGAAAATTCCCTCCACTGATCTAAAATACTAAGTAAAAACTTACGTATGTTATCTAAGTTGGCAAATATTTTGGGATTTTTGTGATAATAATAAAATTTATATAATACAAAACAAAGTTAACCAGTCATGTAATTTTGGCATGGAACTACAGGACTAAGTTTTTATATCAAACATACGCATTGGGCAATCAAAGTTTACTCAGTCATATTAACTAAACTGGGAACATCCTCCTTAAGACATATCTCGTGACTGTGCAATAACTGTAAACCATATTCTTTTACAGATTTCTAGAGTAAGATTTAAATGTTTAAATTCAAGTTAGCAGATTTTTGTTATTATAAATTTGCCTGTTTACAAATTTTTAAATCCTATCGGATGGGACGGTTAATTGTGCCTCGTGTCCAAGATAACAATCCCGGCAATCTAAAGATCATTTTTCTGGTTTCCGAAAAGAGTAGCCTCAATGGAAGCTGTCAGATCTAGAGAAATCCAAAATATTTTTAAGCGTTAACATAACTTTTAACCACCGAAATATGACTGGAATATTGCCGACTCGGCGTTGAACAAAATCAATCGATCAATATTAAATGTATATAGTATATGTGTCCATACGAACGTGACAGTTTAAATATTTAAGGGGTATGAATACGTTACACTGATTATATTATGCAATGTACTCGCTAGATTTATTTTATCAGTTATTTGTGAAGATTTATTTGAATATTGTCATGTTGCAAAAAAAAAAAAAAAAAGAATGCATATACATCTGTCTTACCCAATAATGCAGAGGTAGTCCTTTCCACAAAATATTGATTATCATACCTTTTTAGCTCACCTGAGCCAAAGGCTCAAGTGAGCTTTTCTGATCACAATCTGTCCGTTGTCTGTCGTCGTCGTCGTTGTTGTCGTTGTTGTTGTCGTCGTCGTCGTAAACTTTTCACATTTTCATCTTCTTCTCAAGAACCACTGGGCCAATTTCAACCAAACTTGCAATAAAGCATCCTTAGGTGAAGGGGATTCAGGTTTGTTCAAATGAGGGGCCATGCTCCCTTTCAAGGGGAGATAATTAGGAATTTGTGAAAAAGTAATGATGTATTTTAAAAATCTTCTTCTCAAGAACCACTGGGCCAGGAAAGATTAGACTCATAGTGAAGTATCCTCAGGTGGTGTAGATTCAAGTTTGTTCAAATCATGACCCCTGGGGTAAGGGTTGGTCCGTAATGGATGAGTAAATTTTAAATAAGAATACATCAGAAAACCTTTAAAATTTAAAAATCTTCTTCTCTAGATCTCATAAGCAACAGAGCCATGATTAGTTACATTAATATGCAAGCAACCTTATTTAGTGCGCATTCAATTTTGTCTAGTTTGTGCCCGTACGAAATGATAACGGATTAGGTTTACCTTTGTTTATTTTTTTTTCGATCGGGCGCGGTGTACATAATAAATGAAAACGAGGCTCACTCCTTCAGCCATTTTTGATGTGGACGGTGAAGAAGTAACCGAATTTTGATCTGAAACAAAAGTGTTCATTGCTGATTGTTGTTTTCATTCTGTAAGGTTTGAAGAGTAAAGGATTTAGCTGAATAATTACTACCTTGCGTATATTTGTTCATGCAGCATATATGCAGTGTTTAGGCACAGCGATCGTATTGCGCAGTTGAAGTCTCCTTCGGAGAAAGTCACATGGAGAAAAACAAGTCCATTTAGGCACTGCTACATTTTACTAGTGTTAAGAAAGATTGAGAAGATTTTTTTTTTTTTTAGATTTACTTAGTAGAAGGAAGCGTAATAGACTAATAGTTTGTCATTGCATAATTAATATATTTACATTTCTAAGAATTATGTCCCGTTGTCGGCGTAACGCTCGTTTTCCCACTGTCTTTGTCCTTTTTAAGTTACTTGTTAATATTTTTAATTTTCAAACGTTATCGAACAATTTGGATCTGTACCTGTATTGCCAGAGTATGGGGTAAGGTAAATTATGATCATATTCATGCAGATTTAATTACTAAGAGTAGAAGTAAGATACTGATCTATAAAGTTGGTAAGGTTATAGAGGGAAAACAGTGCCTTACGCTGGTTGACCCCGGATAGTTCCCACAAAGGGGAAAAACTTTTGTAAATGTGAGTCGTCTACAGTGACAACTCTCGCATATAGGTACACCTGTCATCAGGACATATTTATAAAGGATAACTTATTATTAATGAAAGTACTTTAGCAGCAGTACGAAGTGTTTGTCGAAGTTTGCAGAAAGGAAACTCCTACATAAATTGTGATTTTGTGTCAATCGCAGAGATGAAGAATATCGCCTACACAGGTTCCTGACAATTGGCTAAAAAAAAGCATAGACATTATTAGTAGTGTGCGTAAAATGCTTAAAAAAGACAACAGTACAATAAAAAGACTATAGATCTACTTGCAGTTCATTATTGTTTTTGGGTATTTTTTATTTAAAAAAAAATTAATAGGAGAAAGGTGTCATTTTCATGATTTTACAATTCTGCCTTTTATATTGCACTTGTTCTTTGTTTTATATTGTACTCACTGGCGGATTTAAGGGGGGCGTGGGGGGCGCACGCCCCCCCTAAAATTTTCAAAGTATGATGTGACTAATACTTATAATGCCACATTTTGATACAAAACTAATCAAATAAGTGTTATTCTGCCTGGTTTTATTCTTAAAATACACAAAAATCCAGGAGCTTCCGGGGGCTGCGCCCCTACTACTCAAAGTATGACATGACAAGTATTAAACACGTCGTACTTTGATACATCACTAACCAATACCATTATGAGTAAGTAAATCGTTTATTATATAGTGACATGTGTTACAATACAATGAGAAATGTGAAATATTCAAAACATTTATTTTTCAAACATCTGGACCTACATGCTATTTACTTATACCAAAAATAATTGAAAAATATGCACTATTATTGTGCGGCACTGGTTTTACTCTAAAATACACGAAAACCGAGGAGCTTCAGGGGGCTTCGCCCCCTGGACCCCCACCTATATGCTATATACTTTTAACAAAAATAAATTGAAAAATATGCACTGGTTAATATGTGCCTGGTTTTACTCTAAAATACAATAAAACCCAGGAGCTTCCGGGAGCTGGGCCCCCACCTATATGCTATATACTTTTAACAAAAATAATTGAAAAATATGCACTATTAATGTGCCTGATTTTACTTTAAAATACATGAAAACCCAAGAGCTTCCGGGGGCTTTGCCCCCTGGGCCTCCACCAGGGCTTCGCCCTGGACCTACTAAGGGCCTTAAGGCGGCCCCCAGACCTCTTGCCTCAACAGAATTATCCACGCCCCCCCCCCCAACCACAAATCCTGTATCCGCCCCTGGTACTTGTTTTATACATGTAAGGTGCTTCAGGGTAATAACATATTTACATAAGGTGCTATATAAAAGTAGAATAATAATAATGTGGTTTATTTAATTAGCAGTCTGATTCAAGTTCTAGTGATGGGAAATCGGAAATAATTAGAATCAATTATCGGTAATAATTAGCTGGGCATAATTGATAAATAATGAATTATAATTGAAATTTTTAATTCAAATAACATAAACACTGGAAAGTTAAACTTATTCATAATGATAAATGTTTATTAATTTTTCTTTTAATAATTGAAAGTTGGAAAGTCTTATCACAAGAAATACACCTGTGAAATGTGAAAGCCATAGTGGATGAGGAGCCAATCAAAGGTTATAAGCAAGGTTAAAGTTTTTGTGGACAAGAAAACTATATATACTTCCAAAACTTGCAGACTTTATGATGATAAAAATGATGTAATTCAAAGGAATTGATTTTAATCAATCTTTTTCAAAAGAAATTTCAAGGTATTAAATGCTAGCAAATTATAAAACATGTTATAGGAATATTTAGAGGAAATGGCAGAATAAAAGGTTTTGACCAAAATAGGAAATTTTAAGAATCCAGACTGTAATTTTAGATACGAGTTATGAAAAAATAAAGATACATGTAGTGGCATAAGGGAGAAAAAAATGAAATGGCTTAAAGGGTTGCTTTTATAATTTTGACTGCAGGTTAAATACAATACCAATGTACACACAGTTCTCGATAAACACGATAAAAGAAAATTTTTATGGAATACCACAATGGTTAGGTACCATATAGCAAGTTTTTTTGGCGGGTGTAAAATTTGGTGTTATGCATGCTCAAAGGTATGCCAATAAATTGGTGTAATTTATTTTAGCTGACAGAGTTTCAGCGGTTTGCAGATTAACACTAAGATGAGTATTGACTATTTTTAGCGATTAAAATTTTAGCGGACTACCATCAAAATGCCAAAATAAGCTAAAATTAGCACCCCACTAAAATAACCCGCTACACGGTATGTAATTTGGACTTATTGCACAAAACCTATGCCAGTATATTTTGTTTTTAGTGATTAAAATTTTAGTGGACTACCATCAAAATGCCAAAATAAGCTAAAATTAGCACCCCACTAAAATAACCCGCTACACGGTATGTAATTTGGACTTATTGCACAAAAGCTATGCCAGTATATTTTGTATACATTCATATGGTACATATAATTTCTTAAATGTGTGTCACATGTTCAAGGTAAGTCTTGTGTGAAAATGGTTTACAAATTGCATATAACTTGCGTTTCTCATAAAATGATTGATTGTATGTTATTTAACAACCCTCTGAATTTTTCATTCGTATGAGATGCCACCACTTGCAAGTGGAGATCTACAAATTTTTGTCCAATACTTGGCACTCAGGGCAATTGAGCAGTGAGGGATCTTTTTCATTCCAGCACCTACAGAGACACAGGAGCTCTGTTTAAAGGGTCTCGTCCAAGCGATCAGTCTCCACATCCCACAGTGGGATTCGAACCAGCGAACTAAGGATAAACTCCTTAGTGTGTGCCTTTAACCACTGTGCAACACAAGTGACCTCTTTAAATGAATGTTGTCATATGTTTTGCATGTGATTTTGAATTTAACTTTCAGGTTTTAAATTTTTTCAACTTTCTGCTTTCTTTAATTTGATTTGTGCTACAAACTTAAAGTACCCCCGGTAAGTATATATTTTTAAAAGTATCTGCAATGTAGTTTCGAACAACTGCTCTCAAATCTGAAAGTGTCAGTGATGGCAGCATTATGAATTCGAGAATGTGTGTTAGTATCATGTGTAGGCTATGCTGATCCTTATTATATACTATAGATTATAACATTGTTATGTTTTTTGTAGATCACAGAATGCCTAGGAAGAAGAGCTGGAAGAAAGCTGCTGTGAAGAAGACGAAATCTTGTAAGGCAGATGTGGGTGACAAGTACCCCACAGATGTTGGCCACGTCCAACCATCTGTGCCTCTGGGTGTAGGCCACGTCCTAACACCTATGACATCTGTACCGGCAGGGGTGATCTCTACCACCCCTGTGACAGTGGTCTCTGCGGCTCTCCCTGAGACCACTTTGACTGAAACTATGCCTCAAGTGTTGCCTCTGGCTCAAACTATACCTCAAATGTTGCCTCTGGCTCAAACTATGCCTCAAATGTTGCCTCTGGCTCAAATGTTGCCTCAAAAGTTGCCTCAAATGATTACTCTGAATTCCTCTCAGTTGCTTACTCAGAATATATCTCAGATTACAACTCAGAATATTACTCCGTTTACAATGAACAATATACCAAATGAAACAACACATGCACTGCAAGGTAATTGTATGCATCAGAATTCAGATAATCTCGTGTTTGGATCCTTCCATCAGGGAAGCATGAGGTTTTCATCATTTT